ATCTTTTCGAGTGCATGTTTTCATTTCCTTTGGATAAATGCCCAAAAGTGGAATTGGTGGATTATATGGTAGTTATATTTTTAACTTTTTTTTTTTTTTAAATTTTTGTTTATTGCAGTAACATTGGTTTATAACATTGTATAAATTTCAGGTGTACATCGTTATACTTCTATTTCTGCATAGATTACATCATGTTCACCACTCAAATACCAATTACAACCCATCACCACACATTGGGGGAACTCCATACTGTTTTCTGTAGTGGCTGCACCAGTTTACATTCCCACCAACAGAGCACAAGCGTTTCCATTTTTCCACATCCTTAGCATCTCTTGTTATTTCATGTCTTTTTTTATAATAAATAAACTTATTTTACTATTTAGTTTTTGTGGGAAACCAGGAATTTGCTTGCTTATTTTAAATACACTTAAAATTTACTATGGAAATTAAAAACATATACAAATACAGGCAGAACTGTGCAGTGAATTATCATGTACCTGTTACCTAGCTTCAGTGACTATAACTCATGGCCAATCTTTGTTCATCCACACCGTTCCCCACTCTCTTCTATATTATTTTTGAAAAAAAATCTGGCATTTTAATGTACCTTGGAAAAGAAATAAAAAATTAAGATAGGATTTTGTTGGAGGTTTTTAGTTAGTGGTCTGGGTTACCACTTGGGGAGATGTAGAGAGAAGGCTCTGGTCAATAACTTCTAGAGACAGCTACCAGGACTATCTCAAGTATATTATCCTGGCATACTTATAGTGCCATTTAGTGTTTTAGTTATGATTGAACACATTTATTATTAGCTTTTAAATTTGGTTTCATTTCAACAGTCCACAGAATAAGGTATGAAGGACATATATACCTAACATGTAAGTTTCTAATGATAGTCTTCATGGGTTAAACAGATAAAAATAACAAGTTAATGCTTGAAATATTTATGGTTACAAAATTAGAGTGGGTATTTCTCTTTTCAGGTAAATTACTGTAAGTTTAATAATTAGAAGTCTGTGGGAGAGAAAACATTCTTTATGAAAGGAAAAAAATTTAACAGAATTTTAAGCAGGAAAATTCTTTTGAGATTTCTATTCAAAGTATTTTCCCATAAAATTTTTTGAGCTGTTAGATTAAAGATGCTGGTTTAACTCTTACTTAGGCCCAGGCATGGAGTCGTCATTTTGTGTAACTTGAATGGGAACTACTTTATTTAATTTTTGGCTTGAGTCTTTGATGAAACCATAATGTAACTTGGCCACTGCTACAGCAGCAGTAGCTCCTTTAGCTGCTCTTTTTGTTAGACTATGCACTGATGTTGTGCTTTCCTATTCTAAATTGGCATAAACATAATTAATTCAGGTGTCTTGGACAGTGTTTTTTAATCAGGTATGTCTGATACATCAGTTGGAGATGTGGTGGTTTAATTGTACACCACCTTCAATTCTGAGACTATTTTGTGTTCTGAGGTTGTTTTTAGTGGTGTTTGTGTCAATAGAAAGATTCACACAATAAAGAGGAGCAGAGAAATATCCTTTCATTTCTATGTGGCTAACTTTTTTTAAAAGTCGATTTTATATTTGCAGTGGAATCAGGGTCAATGGGAATGGTCTCGTGATGATTTACATGATCATTTTAAGTTGAGTAAACAAGGGTGTGTTCTAGCTTTCTACCTTCTCTGTCTTTTTTTTTTTTTAACTTAATCATTTGATTCATTTTTGGATGAACTGGACGTATATATTCCTTAATCCACTTCTTCCCCTCAAGAGCATTTTTTTAGATGATATGGTTTTGTTGTCATGAAATAGGAGTTAATAAAACACTAGACTTGAGGTTTAATTATTGTGAGAGAAAATGGCTTTGGACCAACTACCTAAAAACTGAAATTGTCATTCTTGGTAGATAGCCTCACGGTTGGAGCTAGATTAGAGCCTATACCTCTGCACTCCAGATTACATTATTCAGTAATCTAGGAGCGCATTTTGCAACCCGTGCTCTTGGAGGGTTTGGGAAATTATATTATTTAAATTAAATTCTTAAAGATGCCCTACTAAGTTTTTTTTCTTTTTTACTGGCTGATAATATCCAATATAAAAATATTCAGTGATAAAAATGTAGCCGTGTTCTACCTGTGGGTTTCAGCTTCTTCATACTTTGAATTTAGAATCAAATCAGAGACAGGGCACAGGAGCTCATCAGATAAAACTGTCAGCATTAGTACTGATAAAGCAGAATAAAATTTAGATCTGAAGCCAAATGGGCATATTATTCTGTATTCAATCCCCAAATTTATTCACACTCAGTCATTGGCAATGCTGGAAAACCATAGACTTCGTCTGCAGAAGCAGGCCACTTACACAACATGGTTTCACAGAGAACATATATGTCCTGTGAATAAATGGTTCTGTATGAAAGAGCATCAGAGATTGATGTGTGTGGGGGCTGATTTCTTTTTTTCTAGTCTAACAATTAGACAAATCACTGTCTTTCCCTTGGAGAGGAATGAGTTATAGTAGTTAGAGAGAGGTTACTAGCACAGTGGTTTTCAAACTGTTTGACTGTGATTTATAGTAAAAAATATGTTTTAGTTATGACCTGGTGGCGCACGCACGCACACACACACGCACACGTGAAACAAGTTTCATGAAATATGGCTTATACTTACCACATTAATGCTCTCTAATATTTTCTATTCTATTTTATTAAAATAAGTGCTAGTCATGACCTTTTAGACTGATTTTATGTTACAGAAATGGGATCAGGACAGTTAGACAAACTAAACTGGCTCCAGCAGATGTGTCCTCACATGGAAACATGAACCAGAGGAGTTGGAGGTCCTTTTGTTTGCTTATAAGATATTGGTTCTACCCACAGCCTGGCTCCCTAATCATTGGAGGATGTTGTGCTGTGCTTAACTTGAGAGAATTACTTACACAGATACTGGTTAAAGAACATACAATCTCAAATTTATCCATTTTCCCTCAATGCTTTTCTTCTACCAACAAAGAAAAAGTATATAGGTTGCCTGAAGGATCATTCTGTTCTTCTCTAGATATGTAAAAAGCTTTTCCCAGATTAAGCCAGACCAGAGAAGGACGGCTCTCATGTATGAGCCGTCTTTAGAAAAACTCAAAGGAGAATGTACATGTTGCTTTCAGTATCAAGAATAGTGCTTTTTCTTAGCACCTGGTTTGTTTTTGTGTTAAGAACACTGTGATTCATGTAATGGATCATGTTGCCTTATTTGTTTTGACAGCTCAAGAGTAGAGAGCTAAATTTTTGGCCTACGTTTATAGGACCAAATCATATACGGTTTCTTTACTGACATCATTATCCTGTTTTTTTTTTTTTGGTGGAGGGAGGCTTTTCCATTAGTCCTAATTTCTCATATATTTAAAAAGTCTTATAGTTTTGTATGCTACTTCAAGTCCTTTATAGGAATAAATATTTATAATTAATTACTGTTGAAATTAGATTTTAAAAGCCACATAAACTTGTTAAAATAGAAAAATAGAATCATGTTTATAACTTTGATCAGTTTCTTGTGATTGGTTTTTAAAAATTATATGAATAAATATTTATTGTTAAAAGTCTGTTTAAATTTATCCCCATATCATGCACTGTTACTTTTAGAACATTTAATATCTGTTGGTATTAAGATACAATATAATTTAGGAGGATAAAATAAACCTTGTAGATTCCTCAAATCTTTTCTGGAATGAGGTTGAATATAAAGTAATAAATATTAGAATTACATGTTTTTACTTATTTCCATCTAACAATCGTGATAAAATAATAAAACATCAATTTTATAAGTGATATATATTAGTTTTCATAAGTATATAAAATCAAGTTACATGTAGAGTATTTTTAAAACTGAGTTCAGAATCTCCTGAATAAATTTCTAAGTTTGTCATTTGCCAAACAACTGTGTTTTAAACCAAAATGAGGTTGTCATGCTGTTGGAGATGTATTACACTGCTTGTTCAAATATTATTTAAATTTGGAAGGAAGATTGAATTCAATTTGATTAATAATTTTAATTTAGTTATTTGTATACTTTGATCTCTCTAAACATAATTTTATTAGCAAATTTCAGAATATTATCTAATTATTGCTGTAATTTTACATTTTAAATAGGTTTAAAAGTGATTTGAACATTACTATAAGAACTTAGAGTTAATCAAGAAAGCAGAGTTAGAACATGATGTCTTAACAAAATATGCATTTTCAAGTTATAGAATTGAGTTTAAATGTCAGCCTTCTTGTGAAATTGTAAATTAACAAGTCACCCAAGAAATAGACAAGTGGTAGTGGTCATTTTGGTTAGAAAAAAGGTCAGGCATTTCAAGCAGTGCTGTAAGGTTGGTGTGAAATCTGCTTTTAATAGAACCATACAACTGTGCTCATACTTCTGAGCGTGGTATGGATGACATGTTGAAGTACAGAACTATGGTGACTATTGTTAGCCTCAGTATGAGAAGAAAGCATATTTTTGGAAAACTCTAGTGTCAACCGTGTACTACTTTGTTGAATAGATTATAAGGCACACAACTTAGTCTTTTCTCAATGATTCAGGATCATTTAAAAATTAGTAGAGGTACTTTAGATAATAGTGAAAATAAGGACCCCTACTGTGGCCCTGGAACTTTCCTTAATAATTCCCCAGTGTTCACTAAACTCAGTTTTTGTTTTGTGTCACTTTCTCAGAAGACTATTCATATTTGTCATTCATATTTCTGGTGCAGAGCTGTTCTGTGAGTGACTTGTCTTTAACTCTGGATAATGCTTTAAGTTCATGTATAAAATAACAATTTCTATATTTTCTATAAACGTCAACAAAGTTTACTAGAATCATCACTAATCTTAGAATTGAAAAAAGTGTGTGTGTGTGTGTGTGTATATATATATATATATTTTTTTTTTTCGTCCTTTTAATGTGCCCCTAAATAGATTCTGTGTTCAGCGAAACTTCTTAACATTTTGATCTATTCTTGTAGGGTTCATGCTTGAACCAGATCCAGAGCGTAGACCTGATATATTTCAAGTGTCCTATTTCGCATTTAAATTTGCCAAAAAGGATTGTCCAGTCTCCAACATCAATGTAAGTAGTTTTTCAAGTAGGATATGAATTTAAAATCCATGTCATCATGTGTGATATGTATACTTTCAGAGTTACTTGTTTCATGACTTAATAGTGTGTTTATGATTAGTATTTTTGATATAAAGCCACAGTTGCCAACTAAGGTGTCCTGGGGAGCTACAGCAGACTTGGGGGCACTGCAGGATATTTTGCATTTTTGAGGGAAACAGTGACATCTGTCTAACACAGCACAAACTAATATTATTAAGTTGTTTAGGCCTATTAAACAAACAGGACTGTTATATTTTTGGGGAGGAAGGCCTGTTAGTGTCATGAAAAATTACTGAGACACTAAGCAGACTATAAAGTGAAAAAGCCTGGTCACCTTTGGTGTAAAGTGCATAGGCATTGTAAATGGAGAGACCTGGGTTCAGCTCTGCCTTGATGTGACTGATTCTGTATATTTTGGGAAGATACTTAATGTCTGTTTCTTTTTCTGTAAAACAGGGATAGTAGTTATGAAGATTACAAATAATAAGTGTAAAACCCATGCCTAGTCCATGGAAGGTGCTGAGTTGGTGTGGCTAGTCTTATTCAAAGGCTTTGAATTATATTCAGTATCTACACATTGCACTTAACTACATCAGATTAACCGTGTACGGCAAGTCTGCTAATTTTAATAAAGGTCTAGAATCATCACTTTTTTAAAGCCGTTCTCAACTTTGTAAAGATCATTCTGACCTGACTTGTTCTAACAAGTTTTCCTTTGTGTATAACTTGTTGGTAACCTTTCCTTTTTGTTTTTTAAAGTCCTGACTAGGTCAATGTAATATTCAGTTCTCTGTTAAAGTTGAAAGTCAGGCAGTTCTAACATTCTAGTAATGAAAGTAGCTTTTGTGTATTTTTAGCTTTTCATTCAGCAAACATTTATTGAGTACCTACTACAAGCCAAACATTATATAGAGCATAAACAACTGAGTAAGGTCGTCTGCTCTTGTTTTTTAGACTACAAGCAGTGTCATGAAAATATCTGCAGTATGTAGAAATGACACTTAACTCATATGCTTCGTGTTTGCTTCTTTTTCCAAACTGTGAAATAGTCATTGATTTACAAGTGTAATATTCTACCCAAGATTTACCCATTTGTAGAGTGGATATAATGACATTGTTCTGTTTATTTTCCAAAGATTTCTGTGGAACATGAATATGAAAGTGACATTTGTATAACATGCAGTGATATTTGCAGATTAGATCTGGCAAATATATGTGAACAATTTGTAGGTATCTGAGGTGAAGCTTTCTGTGATTAAAATGAAAACTAAAATGCGTTTTACTTTTTCTTCCAAGAATTCTTCTATTCCTTCAGCTCTTCCTGAACCGATGACTGCTAGTGAGGCAGCTTCTAGGAAAAGCCAAATAAAAACCAGGTAGGCAAAGCTATGCTGAAATTTTTTAAAAAGAAATTTTTTTTTTTGAAATTTTTTCTTATTTTTAATCCTAGCAAATGTCATTGATTAAGTATCATCTTCCCCCCTAAAATGTGATGTTCCTTATTGCGTGTGGGGTAGAGTTTAGATAGCAAGTACAAACTAAACTTTTTTGTATTAGGTACAGATTTGACATCAATCTCACTTGAACTGCTCACTCTCAGCAATCGAGAAATAATTGTGTAACTGGTGATGTTACATTGGGTCATTTTGGGGGGAGTTTTATTGTTTCATCACATGGCAGCTCTAATTTATGAAATTTTATATTTTGAATTTATAGTTAGTATGCTTTTTCTTTAAGGAAATAAATAGCTCATAGGCAACTATTTAGAGTATTCTAAATTCATGAACTATTTTATGTATTCTAATACATATTTAGAATATGTATTATTGTGTATAATTTATAGTGAATGGTTATAATGATAATACTTTGAGTGGTAAAGAAATATTATAATGTTTTAAATCATTTTTCATAGTGCATTAATAAGTTTGACATGTGTTATGTAGGTAAAGACCTGAATCTGATTAATGATTGAATTAATGATTGATTTTTTTTTTCTCATGCTTTTTTAATTTCAAAATTAATAAGCAGGACTATATTATAGATTATCAGACAAGTATAATATTGCATTTGGGGAGATTTCTTGGTCACAGCTTTTTTGTATTGTACTTTGCTTATGCAAAGTATTTTGTTTGATATAAAATACATAAAATATATGTCATGTACCTGTTATATGCAAGATATAGATACTGGAAACGCAAAGAAAAAGAAGCAGTGCTTAGTCCCAAGGAGTTCTAATGAAGATAGACAAGTAAACAGTTATAACCTGATGGATATCAGGCAATTCTGAGAGTGGAGGAAGGGAAAGACTTGGGGGCAGAGAAAACAGGAGCACAGAAAGAATCCTTTTCCTGGGCCTGGGAGCTGCTCAGCTCTTCCTTGAAGGATGAATAGTCAGTCACCTGGAATGACAGGGATTGAAACTATAGCAGGCAGGCACTTCAGGCAAGAAGAATGGCCTTTGTGAGACTGTGGGACTGGAGCATAAGGGGCCATAGCCCGGGAGTGGTGGGAAGTGAACTGAAGAGGCAGGTAAATGCTAGTCATGAGCAACTTGGTTTCTATGTCATACTGAGAAATTTGGACTTTGGCCTTTAGGCCAGTGAATTTTCAACCTTGCAGTCAGTTCTTCTATTTGGGACTTGGTTGTGAGATGTGTTATAAATAATCTGTTATTCATAAAGTGTTAAAATATCGTTTGTGAATGACTTAGTTTTTAAAAAAAATATGGCATCTCTCTAAAAATATTATCTTCATTCACTTGAATTTTAAAATACTCTCAAGTAAGAGACGAAGGAGTAAAGTTACGTCTAACTTGCAGGAATCCACCGTGACCAATAGTCTGTCTTATCTATGACAGTTGTAGTTAGCAACTGCTGTTTTAGTTGAGAGGTAATTATGAATTATTATAGGACTTGTCAATCGAATTTTATTGTTACTTGTGTTTTTTTTAATAATTTTGTCAATGAGTAAATCTTGAAGAAAGTAGATACAGATTTAAAAAAAGCATGAGTCAACTGAACAAGAATGATGCTTTGAATATCTTTTCACTATGACACGAGTTATAACTATACAATTATAAGCAAATGGAATAGTTAATGCAACTAAAATTCATAGAGCTATTCATAGTATGTTAAATCTGTACATTATGTATATTGAAAAAATAAGGTTTGTTGGTGCTTATTGTTCAATAATATAAATTTACTTTTTATTGATAGTATCAGAAAAGAACTTGAAAAAATCTAAATGTCTATAAGACTTAATATTAAAAATTTAGTTTTTTTTTTTTCATGTAAAGGGCATATTTCTGAGGGGGAAGATTGGAGAAATCTTTAAATAGCTAGTATCATTATTTACAAGATTTAAAGCTTTTATGAATAGTATCCATCTGCCCTGCCCTGAATCTTTTGCACTCTTTGCTTTACTTCTTAAAAGCCCTCTTCTACCTCCCCAAAATCTGCATCTGCTCTTAGGGCTGTTAAACATGTGCAAGTTATGTGACTTATATCTTAAAGATGGAAGGGTTGAGAATCACCGTCCTGGCAGATGGAAATGCTGAAGGATTTTAAGAGGAGAGAGAGTCTGTGTTTTAGGAAGATTATTCAGGTGATAGTGAGAAAGAAAGAAAAGAAACTAAGTAGGGAAAACAGCTCTGTTGTAATAGTGCAAACGAGGCTGCATAGCAGCACTGATACCAGTAATTACTCAGTCTTTCGTTTTAGTCAAGTTTGTAACTTCACTTTGCCTAATCTGTCTGGACGTTTTCTTTCCATTTCTTCACACAGAATGCTTAGTTTCTTTTTCACTGTCTAATGAAATCATATTTGTTTTTTATCTCCGGTTCCTACCTGAAGCCTTCTCTAGCCAGATTAGGTTAAAGGTACAATTACTCTTCCATGAAATTCGTGACAGCACTAGCTTGGCACTAATTATTTTTACTGTCTTATATTTCATTATATTTTCATGAACGTGTGCCATATCTTCCTAGATATACTGTAAATTCTTTGAAGACAGGGTATTGTGCTGGATGTCAGTAATTGTATAATAGATATTGGTACATTGGTGAAATAAATTAGGAAACACTAGACTAAACAAAGTCTGCAGAACTTTTAATATGCTTTTTAGAGGTTTCTTAAGCTCATGTGTATCGTGAGTCTCTCTATATAGAGCAGTTTAGAACAGGAACAAGGCAGAGTGAGGTCTGGCCTGTCCTACCCACTTAATAAAGAATGAATGGACAAATAGAAAGATTATATACAATATTTCCCCCAAAGTACTTGAGCTTAGGGAGTACAGCATTGGTTTTAGTGCCACATCCATAATTTGAACTCAATAAATATTTGATTATCATTAAAATGAGATATAATTGATCATGTTTACATAATCTTTTATTGCCTTTTAGTTGAATCTTCATGTAACTTGGACCATCCTCATCCCATCTGAAACATTAATGTTATTTTTCGAAAATGGCACACATACAATATATTTCTACGATTTTCTAAAATCTTTTGATTCAATTTCACTTTTCTTTTTTAGAAAGATAGTTGTAACAGGGCTCCCTCCTGTGGTACATACAGACGTAGGAAAGAAGCATAGATCTGTGCAGTTATGGTAGACGACGGGACTTTCTCCAAATGCAGCACATGTGTGCTTGATAAATCATATGTATGCAAAATTTTCAGTATCAAATTGTTTGAAAATGTGCTAAGGGAACTTGGTAAGGAAATTTTATTGCAATCCTTTTGAAAAGTGAACATATGACCCTATTAAGTATTTGAGTTTTTGTACTGAATTTATAGAAAGCCAAGTTGATGAACAAGTAAGTTAATATTTTTCCTGGCTTTATTTGAAAGAGAAAAGCAAATGTCTATATGTCTTCTCAAATTATATTTAGTGTCTCTAACTTTGAAAACTATGCTTACCACTTGACCACCCACACCTGTGGCCTGAACTAAGTCGTAGTAGGAAAGGTTTTATCTAATTTCCATTCAGTGTTCTAAGTAAAGCCAAGTTAAAGATTCAAGAAGTTGAATGTGAGCAGGTAGTTCCACCTGTTAAAAGTTTTGGCTTCTTTTGTTTTACATGCCCTAGGGTGCAGTCTTTTCTTTTTTAGGCCTAGTCTCCAAGCTAAGGGAGACTGTTGTTTGTTGTTTCTTATTTTTATTTCTCTGACTGGTTCAGAGAGTTGGCTCTCAATTTTGTCCAAAACCTTATGAGAAGTTCTGTTTGTTTCCTTTATTTCATCTCCTTAAGAGCATTCCTATACTCTTTTTGCCAGCTTCAGTGGCAGACTATGAGTGGTAGCATACTGGTTTAAGGAAAATGGTTATGTTTATTTTTTTACTTTCCTGTCTTCAGTAAACATTTACTACGTGAGAATGAGACTTAGGAAGAAGCCAAGAAGACTAACATGATCCCCAATACTAATTAAAATGCATCTGTTGAAATAGATGCTTCATAGAACAAATAGTAAATTAGAAATAATCCAAATATTTAGAATGAAATGTATTCTTCTCTTATAGAATAACAGATACCATTGGACCAACAGAAACCTCAATTGCACCAAGACAAAGACCAAAGGCCAACTCTGCTACTGCCACTCCCAGTGTGCTGACCATTCAGAGTTCAACGACACCTGTTAAAGTCCCTGCTCCTGGTGAATTCAGTAACCACAGACCAAAAGGTAACACAGCCCTGTCAGTCTCGTCCCCTTCGTAGTTAACTTAAAGAAACCTTTTGTGACTTGATTTCCTAGGAGTATAAATTTACTGTTGTGAAGCAAACACACTATTGTGTGTTTTGTTTTGATGTTAAAATGTTTTCAGTTAGGATACTCTAATGGTTAAGAGCCCCCACTTTGAGTCTCATGCACCTGGATTTGAGTCCTATTTCTCCGATTTTTAGTAATATATACTATGAAAATACTAGTAGCGCTTTTACAGGATTGTTGTGAAGACTAAGTTACTGCTTAATATAATGCCTGCCACATACTATGTCCTTAAGAATGTTAACTATTAACCACTATTATTACTATTAGGTAAAGTGTATACTAAGGGGAGATAATGTTTATGTTACCTGGCATGTTGCTGCATACCTCTGTGGTGATCAGATATACCAGATGGAAGATTATTCCATGGAAAAGGGAAAATAGGGGAATTTGAAGTCTTTGTGTCCAGTTCCCATTTTACTATTTCTTAGCCTCATTGTTCTTTTCTGTAAAATGAGAATAACAACTACTTTTTGTGTTATAAGGAGTAAATGACAAGATGTGTGGTATCTAGGAAAATTCTGTTTCATAGTAAGCATTCAATGTTAGTTTCTCTATTTTCTGCCTTTCTGGGTTGGAGATCCTATTAGTGTTATCTATCATGTGTCAATGCCCTCCAGCCAAAGACCACTAGGAACACACGTGTATTTGAGCAAATTGAGTTTATTACTCATGTACCATGGGAATCTGTGGGAGTGTCTTAGTAAGATGATGTTTGAAAAAACTTATTAAAGGATTTGGGCTTGTTTCAGGTAATTTTGGGGCGGCTTTAAGGAAGTGGGGCTTTGCTCTGGTTTGCTGTCAGGGTCATGTAGTATCTTAATAAATCATATCTAGAAGGAGGGAAGCAAAAGCCTCAATTGGTAAAGCAGCAGCAGTCAGTCATATTAGAGGAGAGGGAGAGGCTTCGTCCTTTTTGTGGTTTGGACAATGTTCCTGATTTTGTCAGTGTTCAGACATGATTATGGAGTGCTCTTCTTGTCCTGATCCGTCACAGTCACAGGACGGCTTTGTCTGATGTTGGTGTTCTGTGGAACTGTTTATGTTTATCAGGAGAACACCAGGACCTAGCTGTGAGTGTCAGGCCTGCTCCCCATGTCAGGGACCGTGTTTCACTTCCTTACATGCTTCCAGCTTAAGTTGGAAAAATAATACTCTATTTTTTTCCCGTATGTGCATCTTTTAACATTTCTCACCCTATTAAATATTATATGAAAAGTAACACTTGAATATATTCTTCTAAAATATTCAGACAGTACAGTAGTATTTAGAGAAAAATGTAAAAATCTCCATTCTTTTTCTTCCCAGAGTAAAAACCAGCAGCAGTTTGGTGTGTGTCCTCCAGTCTTTTTTTATGTTCTTGCATGTTTATAGATACAAATAATTCATGTTATGTTTAACATAAATGAATTCAAACTATACATAGTTCTCTGCAACTTGATTTTTTTTCTTTTTACTTAATGTATTTTGCAGAGCTTTGCACATCAGTGCATATAGATCTACCATGTAGTTTTTAACAGGTATATGATATTCCATAGCATGAATGTACCATAGCTTATATAATCATTTAGTTTCTTTCCAGTATTTGCTATTATTAATAGGGTTGTGGTGAACATCCTTATAACAGACTCAGATTTCTATGTCAGAACATTTTTCTGAGGAAGATATTAAAAAGTATACTCATTTAAAATTTGTCAGATACTGCCAAATTGCCATCTAAAAAGATTGCAGAAATGTACACTACCAACAACAGTGTGAGTGTCCTTTCATTCCAGTCCTTTGCCAACACTTGATAGTATTGGTTTTTAAAAATGTTTCCCTATTGATAAGTGAAACATTTTTGTTTTTATTTTAATATTCCTGATTAATAGTACTGTTGCATGTTTACTGGCCATTTGTTCTATGAATTATCTCTTGCAATTTTCTATGAGATTGTTTGTCTTTCATTTATTTTTTAGTGCTCTGAAGATTTTATTTTTAAGTATTCTGAATATTAGTTCTTTGCCAAATATATTGTAAATATTTTCTTTTAGTTTACCATTTGTCTTTAACTTTACTTGTGAATTCCCTTAACTTCTCTGAGCCTTAGTTTCATTATTTGCAAAGTGGGTAATAATAGTTTGAGGATTTCATGATGTACCTGAAGGCATTGTTTTCAGATAGGATTGTTGTGCTGTTGTTTGGGAGTTCTCTGGTGCTCTGTGGCCTTGGCTTAAGAACTTGGATGACACTAGAGAAAAGTTAACAGTTTGTAAAGTGAGAGGTGATTCTCATGAGTTACTGTGTGATGATCATTGGTTGTGTTGGGGCTGCACCAGCCACGAGTGTTCTCCAGTTAGACATCAGGGCCCTCAAAGATGAAGGTATACCTGAGGAGCTGAACTTTTTAATACTCTTCCAGCTGGAAAGAAGGACACTTAAAAGGCTAATGGTGGTTATGTCTGTGTGATGTAATTATGGTTTTAATTTTATTTTATTTTTATAATATTTCAAGAATAATTAAAACAAGCATGCATTTTCTTATAATTAGAACAATTAGAAATAGTTATAAAACTATTTTCAGAGATGTGTTGTACCTAAGGCCTGGGGAGGCTTGAGGATGTTAATATTGATGAAAAAGATCCTTCTCTCCCTCCTTGCACTCTCCCTCCTTTTTCCCCTTAGGATTAAATAGTTGCATTTGAATTTATGGTAACTCTGTGGAAGAGAATATAGAAATGATAGTATATTGCATTTCCTCTTTTTGATATTGTGCGTCTCTTACTTTTTCATTAATTTCGAAAGTTTATTCATAGGATTTTGATTTTCCTAGGGTAAAATTTATGAAGCTGATGAATAAGTATCTATTTAGGAGACAGTGTTAATAGATTTACTACAGTAGCATTTATTGAGCATCTGTTATATAAAAGGTTCTTTGGGCCACTAACAGATAAATGAGTCATCACCACATCCCTCAGGGGCCCTTGTTAGGAATTAGCCATGTAAACAATTAATATGTGCAAAGCAGAATAAAATGTTATAAAACTGAGTGGAAGTATTAGATGAAGGAACAAGGGAGAGAGATTTGAGCTAAACTGTAAAGGATAAGAAGAATTGCAGTAGGTGGAAAGCGGCATTCTAGGTGGAGAGGATCATATCCGCAAGGACACAGACTCATGACAGTGCATGATATAGCTGAGAAATGTGGCACAAATTGACATGGCTGGTGTGTTCATGGAGAGATGAAGCGTTTCTAAGACGTTGACTTATTCAGAGTTGTAGCTGACAAAATAACTTTCGTGGGTATTTATAATTATAGTAAATAGTCCCTTTAGACTATATGCATGTGGGAGTTTCTGTATTACAAAATAAGGATATAAATGCCTTGGTTAAATGATTATTGAAATAAATGTTTTGAAATGCAACCATTTTATTGAAACATGAGAATGTTAATGTAAGTTTTTGGAAACCTCTTTTAGGAGCAGTGAGAGCTGGAAATGGCTCTGAGATTTTATTGGGTCAGGGGCCCCCTCAGCAGCCTCCACAGCAGCATAGAGTACTTCAGCAACTACAACAAGGAGATTGGAGATTGCAGCAGCTTCATTTACAGCATCGTCATTCTCACCAGCAGCAACAGCAGCATCAGCTACATCAGGATGCTTATATGCAGCAGGTAATTCTTTTGTTACTTTAGATATGGAAGTAGTACCTTGAAATTCATGCTGCTATTAAATATCAGGGAATTCCCTTTGTATCATGGCACCTTGAATTCTAGAATCAATTAAACATTTTGCTCAATTTCCTGATTATTAACGACTATGACTTTTATTTGCATTCTGTGAGGTAATTAAGAATACTCTATTGAAATAGGTTGCATCATAGCTTTATGAAGCAAAGAATATTCATCCAGTCATTTGGCATCATGAATAAGCACTGCGATTTATGATGAATGTTACGGTTTTCAGGTTACATTTTGAGTTCAGATACATAGACTAATAATGTTATTTTTGGAAGGGTGATATTAGGCTTTCAGAAGTAAAATTGTCTTGGGTTTTTGTTCCTTTTTTATTTTTTTGCCTGGGTTGGGTGGGTGTGTGTGTAGGGGTGGCATTTAGAGTTGGAAGGGACATAAACAAAAATGACCTTAAGTTCTGTTCTGTCCTTTGCCTCATCAGAACCTGCAAATTTCTAGTTTCACTAAACTATTTTAAATTTAATGACTGTCACCATCATCCTTGCATCATTTCCTGAAATATTTTTGAGCCAATTATATGCATGACAGTTCTCATGGGTGTCTTCCTCCTCTAGTCTTGACTGATAGACCGAGTGGAGGGTAGTTAAGTAGGTGGTGCCATTGGATGGCCAGGAGATCTCATTGAAGGAGAGATCGAGGAGACTGGCAATTTACTACACTGAGTGCTGGACACAGGTCACTTCAGGGGTCTTCATCAACTGGTAAATGTGTTTAGGTTTAGGTTTCTTCCAAACATCCTTAAACTGCACTGGAAATGGTTTTAGTTGAATCTTTTGTGTTTCATTTATAATTTTGAAACCAATTCCAATAGGCATATATAAGTTATAGTCACTTACTGACTATAGCTATTTTACATTGGTGTTTGGACTATTGAGTACCCAAATCATTGTTATGGTAAGATCAATATTTAAAAAACATAAGACTATGGCACAAAAAGAGATGAGTAATATTGATGAATTTGTTTTTCTCATTGTAGTATCAACATGCAGTGCAGCAGCAACAGATACTTCAACAACAGTTTTTAATGCATTCAGTATATCAGCCACAACCTTCCGCATCACAGTATCCTGCAATGGTAAGTGTTATATAATTTCTAGAGATTTCTCTCTGAGTATACATTCCACTGTTGGAATTCACCGTGTGAATGGTATCATTCAGAATTTAAAAATTCAAAATCAATTCAAGTTAGTTAACACGTATTTTATTAAAGCCAGTCATATATTCTCAAGCAGTGTTAAATTGGGCTGAATATAGCAGCTGAATTTGGCACATTGTAACTGACTGATAGTATTTCTCTTATCTCATAGTATAGGGGAAATGATCTATTACTCATGATCTTTTGTCATATGTCTCTTTCATCAAGCAAATGTCTATTGAATAAAAAAAGAAACCCAAAGGAAAATTGCATTTGCTTCAGAGAATAGTTTGAGCTTTTTTATAGCAACCACCATGCTAGTGCCTTTAAGCTACTCTATTGTCTTAAACTATTTAAAGGAGGATTTTTGAATCCTATCAAGTGAGCCTAGCCTCACAACTTTTTAAAATTGAGTTGTAATTGTGATAATATTATATTAGTTTCACGTGTACAACGTAATGATTTGATATTTGTATATATCGCAAAATGATCACAAGTCTAGTTAAACAAGTTTTTATTTTTTTTTTATAATTTTTATTTATTTATTTTTTCCCCCAAAGCCCCAGTAGATAGTTGTATGTCATAG